GTAATTCTGCTTCCATCTGATCTTGGAAAAGGGACGTCTGAGCAGTACAAAAGTGTCCTAGTGCAGAAGCAGCCTCTCCCAGCAGGCCAAACCTCCCCATTTTCAGCACGATTCTCACCTTGACCACCTGCCCCTTTTCTTGTAAGCTGATATTACGGCCTTGTGACTCTGGATCTGGAGGGAGGTTGTACAAACGAGACAGAGGTTAGTCAAACATTTGGGTAAGTATAGTGAAGTATTTTGTACTCAGCGAAAGACGGTATGAAGAATGATGACCAGTGTTCCCTCTAAGCTGAGTTAGTGTGAGCTAGCTCACAGTTTTTTAGCCTCCGGCTTACATTTTTTCCTCAGCTCAGGAAGGGTGGCTCCAGAGCAAACCGAAGCCGAGAAGCTGAGACGAGCTGAAGACACATCAACTGAATCCCACTGGGTGCTGTTAGGTAGTCCCGCCCCTAATATGATATATACATGTGCCCATAGATAGGGATAATACAAACTATGTAAGCCGCTCAGAGACCCATGGGAGGGGTTTGAGCGGGGTAGAAGTTGAAGGTAAATAAATAAATAAATAAATCATGCAGTGGCCAAATCGCTTGCTCACAACTTTAAGGCCAGTAGCTCACGGAGTAGGATTTTTGCTCACAAGACTCCACAGCTTAGAGGGAGCATTGATGATGACGTATTTCTGGGTAACGCTCTCTGCTGAGCAGAGTGCATCTTGGGTAGGCAAAGATGCAGTGACCCTGTTTCTCCACAGATAAACAAAGAGAATTACATGGGTGAAGGTTTATCCTCCCCTTTTGATGCAATGAGGGGTGCTACAGAAAGACGGCCTCCTTCAGCCTAGGAACCACTTACTCTTTTGGTGTGTGGTTGCGCTCCCTAGAAGTGGCTGGTGACTTGAGGGAGGAGAATGCAGAGACCCCGGCGGGTGAACACCCCAGCACCAGCGTGGGTCATGGGAGGGCGGAGCCAATAACAAATAGCTATGGGAAAAGAAAGAAAGGGTGATAGTCGAGGAGACCGGGTGCATTGTTAAGACAAAGGGTGAGACCCAGCCAGCTTTTCTGTTGGTGGAAAAGAGAGGAGGGGTCCCCTCTGACCACACAAAAGTTTTTCTGGGGATGATGGATGGGACCCGCATGGACAAAAGCCATCTGGACTGGGGTCTGTAGACAGGTGGAGAACTGGGCGCGATTGAGCAAAAAGTGGGCTGGATCCAACCCAAAATGTCACCCGGAAAGGAACATATCTCATACGTAGGGTTGCCAATCTCAGGGTGGGGCCTGGATATCTCCTGGAATTACAACTGATCTCTGACAGCAATAATTTCCCCTGCAGAAAATGGCTGCTTTGGAAGACGGACTGTGTGGCATTAATACCCCAATGACTGTGAGCCAGTTTGGTGTAGTGGTTAAGTGCGCGGACTGTAATCTGGGAGAGCCGGGTTTGATTCCCCACTCCTCCACTTGCACCTGGCTGGATGACCTTGGGCAAGCCGTAGCTCTGACAAGAGCTGTTCTTGAAAAAGGGCAGTTTCTGTCAGGGCTCTCTCAGCCCCGCCTACCTCACAGGGTGTCTGTTGTGGGGAGGGGAAGGGAAAGGTGATTGTAAGCCGCTCTGAGACACCTTTGGGTAGTGAAGGGCGGGGTATGAATCCAATCTCTTCTTCTTCAATGAGGTCCCTTCCCTCTCCAAGCCCCCCCTCCCATCTCCAGGAGTTTCCCTAGCTGGAGTTAGCAACCCTACATATTAGGGATGCTTTCTCACCAGAGAGATCAGCTGTGCCCTTTCTGGGAGGCAGTACCCACATTCCCTGAGCACAGATTATTCCATTTACCCCATTATTATTAACTGCTGCTATGAATTCGTATTTAAACTAAGCCAGGCTATCACAGAGGATTTAAAAGTCAAATCCCAACCTTGAAGCCCCCCAGCTTTACACATGCACGAGAGACAAAAAGGGAAGGGCAGAAAGGACACATAAGACTATAAGAATTTTGAAACGCACAAGATAACTTTATGCCGTATGGGGGCATATTCCACTCTACTCTGCTTGCAACATCCTTTCCCCTAAACGAGCAGCATCTTCGCCAGCCCTCTGACAACTTTTCCCGTAGCAACTTCCTACCTGGTCTCTTTGACAGCTGCCTCCCTCTCTAAGTAACCAGTAGGCCCTTTTTACAGACTACCCCACACACACACACACACCTCTGGAGCTCACCTGGCCAGCATAATGATGGGAATGACATTCATGGTGAGCAGCGTGTGCTGAGGGGTCAGCCCAGCCTGCGTCAGTCCAAGGTAGGAAAGAGCCCCCAACAGGCCAGCCCCACCGGTTCCCGAGGACCACGCAGACACCACAGCGCTAGCAGGGGGGGGGGGACACAACAGAAAGAACAGTATGAGATTCCCTCCCTCTGTCAATGACCACATCCCGGTTTTTACCATTATCACCAGATCAACAAGTCCTTGGCAGATTCGTGATATTTATTCTGTGTGCTTTATAGCTTACATTATAGGCATTTGTTCCAGCACATGAAATGTTGGATCAGTCAGTCTTGTTCTCCCATGATGCAGCAGGGCTCTTTTTGTAGAAAAAGCCCAGCAGGAACTCATTAGCATAAGAGGCCACACCCAACAGCAGAAATCCATTAGCATATTAGGCCACACCCCTGACAGCACAGCTCATTAGCACATTAGGCTGCACCCCCAGGGCTTTTTTGTAGCAGGAACTCCTTTGCATGTTAGGCCACACACCCCTAATGTGGCCTATTATGCTAATGAGTTCCTGCTGGGCGTGGCCAACTTGGAACCAGCCGGAACTGCCCAAAAATAGCCCTGTGCATTAGGCTAGCTGCCCCCCCCCCCACATACACACACTTTGAGTGACATATAGATGCTTATGTGTTTATATGTTGATCATTCACCTTTCCACCTCCCACCTAAAATACTTTTTTCAAAAGTTTGGAAAGTGATCTGTGGATCTGTGGATTGGAGTGGCGACATCACAGGCGCTACATGGGAAAACATCAAGCAACTATTTTTCAGAGCTCACAGAGACAGGAAAAGATACACTTGTACTGGTATTTTTCAGAGCTCACAACAAGACAGGAAAAGATACACTTGTACTGGTATGGAACACAAGAAGGGTGTTTTACTAGAGTCCCTACGGCTCCTAGTGTCCCTACGGTGCAGTGGTTAAGTGTGTGGATTCCCCACTCCTCCACTTGCATCTGCTGGATGACCTTGGGCAAGCCGTAGCTCTGATAAGAGCTGTTCTTGAAAAAGAGCAGTTTCTGTCAGAGCTCTCTCAGCCCCACCTACCTCACAGGGTGTCTGTTGTGGGAAGGGGAAGGGGAAGGTGATTGTAAGCCGCTATGAGACTCCTTCGGGTAGTGAAGGGTGGGGTCTAAATCCAATCTCCTCCTCCTCCTCCTCTTCTTCTTCCGTAAAAGTTACAGCCTTCTTCATCCTTAAAGGCCTCTTACCCCCATGACTTTTGGAGATGTCCTCCGACTCAGAGGGAGAACGGACATGTGCTATGTGAGCCGCCTTGAGCCAGCTTGCGGGGAGGGCGGGTTATAAATGCAACAAATAAATAAATACTATCATAAGCGAGGATGTGAAATAACCAACAGGTATGCTAACCACGCCAATAGAGTCTAAGACAAACACACAATGCCTGCTAAATCCGTGGCCAACAGGTGATTTTTAGTGGCTGGGGTTTTAACACTTTGTTCATTTTAATGACTTTGCTTCATGGTTTTATCATGTTTTATTTTGTAAGCTCCCTTGAACAGGTTCTCTGGAGAGGTGGTGCAGAAACTTCCTAAATACATAAATCCAACGTTGTCACAAAAATTCATAACTGATCCCTGGCCCTCTCCCTCCCCTCCAATCACCCTCTCCTTTTCTCACCTGTCAAAAAAAGACGTGAGCGCCAAGAAGGTTATTTCACCCAGGCCGGAAGAAACACTGGCCAGCACCACACCTAAAGCAACGAGAAGAAAAAACAGAATCGCCTCACCTGAGTGTGGTGTGTGCTGAGGTGACCCAGGTATACCTGAGCACAAATGCTGCCCTCTGTATAGACGGCAGAGCTTTAGCGGGCGCCTGGCCTCAGATCACAAGTGCTTCAGGGAGGGGGAGAAGCTGCACCGACCGCAAATTCATCTTCCTTGTTTGGTGTAGTGGTTAAGTGTGTGGACTCTTATCTGGGAGAACTGGGTTTGATTCCTCCCTCCTCCACTTGCAGCTGCTGGATGACCTTGGGCAAGCCGTAGTTCTGACAAGAGCTGTCCTTGAAAGAGCAGTTTCTGTCAAGAGCTCTCTCAGCCCCACCCACCTCACAGGGTGTCTGTTGTGGGAGGGGAAGAGAAAGGAGTTTGTAAGCCGCTCTGAGACTCCGAGTGAAGGGTGGGGTATAAATCCAATCTCTTCCTCTTCTCTAAATACAAATGCTGTTTGTGCCCCAGAACACGTGCTTCTACCCACTGATAGGGTTATGTGAAGTGGGTGAGGGGGGAGACCACTATGAGAAGGCTTCTAAGGAAGAGAGGGATGAGGTGAATTCCTTCTATGAAGAACAACCAAGAGGGACTTATATGGGCAGAGAGACCATAAAGTGGATCCAGCCAGCTTTTCTGATGGTGAAAAAGGGTGAAGGAGGGCCCCTGTAACTAGGCAGCAGAACCATTTTGCTGGGGATCATAGAGCCAACCCCACATGTCCTGTTCCCTCACAATATCCTGTGCAGATGCCTCTTACCTGTAAAGCTTTGGGCCGGGCCAGCGGAGAAGGCGACCAGCAAGAAACTGCCCAGGGCCGTGAGGATACAAATGATGACCCGCAGGCTATGCCAGGGCCGTGAGGATACAAATGATGACCCGCAAGCTATGAGTTGAGGGCAGGGGGAAGGGGGGAAAGACGAGGGGGGTAAATGGATGGAGCCAGAATGAGCCACCGTATTCTTGACTAGTCCTACCCGCAGGCCAGGTAGGACAACTCTCCCTGGCAACCAGTCCACCAGCATGGCATAGTGGTTAGAGCCCTGGCTATGATATGGGAGACTCAGGTTCAAATCTGCCATGGAAGCTTGCTTGGTTGTTGTTATCGTCGTCGTCGTCATTATTATCATTGTCATCGTATGGCACTGTGTGTAGTATAGCCAGGAGATCCGAAGATTGTCCGGCAGCCAGAAGTTCCAGCTCTTTTAGCATTATGCACCACTAGGTGGCGAGCTAGACTTGTTTTTAGGGCAAGAGACGTTTCAGAGGTGGTTTGCCATTGCCTGCCTCTGCGTCACACCCCCTAGTATTCCTTGGAGGTCGCCCTTCCAAGTACAAGCCAAGGCCGACCCTGCTTAGCTTCCGAGATCGGACAAGATCAGGCTAGCCTAGGCTATCTGGGTCAGGGCCGCTTGCTTGGTGACCTGGGGTCAGTCAGTCTGGCCTACCTCACAGGGTTGTTGTGAGAGTAACCTGGAGGAGGTGAGGTTCAAGTATCCCACTCCTTGGACAAAGGGCAGGATAAACACATCCTAAATAAATATACAAACCAGTCCCCCCCTCCCCCACCCCACTCATTCTGCATTACCCCAAGCTTCCTTGTATTACCCATTCCCCTCTTTCCTCAGAAACTGGTAACTGCCTGTACAGTGTGAAATCTGCCAACTCACCCATAGGGCAATAGATGGATATAAAAAGGAGCGCTGAATTTGATAAGGAGAGTAGGCAGAATGTCAGCCAAAAGCACAGCCTGTGGGGGACGAAACAGACTCATAAATGCATGAAGCTGCGTTATACTAGTAGTCCATATGTGACCAAGAAACAGCTGAAGCTCATTTGCTTTACAAATAAAACTGGGAACCAGTAGCTGGATAACTGTGTGCTTTCAATCACGTGCGTTGAAAGTTAGCAAGAGAATTGCTCAATGCACGTATCAAGAAAAATCAAGTGTACACTGTCCACGGAGGGTATGTGAGTTCATTGTAACTTGTGAACGAGGCTACTGAATCGGACCACTGCTAGGACTGCGAGTCGACGGCTAAAAGATAGACCATTGCTCTTTGAAGGTCAGGGCTGGCAGCAGCTCTTCAAGGTCTCAGGTAAGGGCTTTCCACATTGCCTACTTTCTGAGCCTTTTTAACTGGGGATACCGGGGATTGAACCTGGGACCGTCTGCATACAGAGCTGATGCTAACCAGTGAGCCACACTCCCTTCTCTATTGCAAGGCAGGAGTGAGCGATGCTTGGGGCTTATCTCACAACCCTCTGCCACTCTCCTGTCTGTATACTTACCCCTGTTGAGATGATGTTGCAGTCGTAGCGAGAAGTATTAGAGGCGTTCCCTGGAGTGATGCTGGGGGGCGTCTGAGCGAGAAAGACAAGTGGTTAGAGACAAGTGGTTAGATCTGAGCAGTAAGAATGCTGCTCCACCACCCCACCTTCGCTTTCTCCTCACATGACTTTCCTGAAGCCACCCTCATTTTGCACAAAAAAAGCCACAGTGGTTTATTGCCCATTCTAGTGGATTTGCGTGCTCAGGAATGTGGATGCCGACACAGCCGTCCTGAGCAGAGTTACACTTTTTTAAGTCCACTGAAGGGTGAGCCTCTGCCTAGGACAGCAGGATGGTCCAAACAGCCGGCACCTTCCGCAGCAAGAGCAAACGGCTCATTTTCACTTCCAGTCTTCCAAGCAATTCTGGCCCCATCCCAGGCTTCTGGTGGTGAAACGTTCCCTCACCCCATAGCTAACCTGTGTAAAAATCTATCTTTTTGGGAAAATAAATGTTTTATTTATTTGAAGTAGAACTTTTCAGACAGGCTGTTGATGGCTCATAGCACAGAGGTTGTATTTCGCTTCCCTTTACCTATATCTCTGCGATTGCACGTTGTTTGGCAGAAGCCAAAAACGTGGTTTCGGAAGATGCGGGGTCAGGGGTACTGAGCCACATTCGGATCTACTCCTGAGGAGGCAAAATTTTGTGTGGAAATTTTTGCATAGTTCAATTATTTAACAACACCGGCCCAGGGGTTTGCTCTACTGCAGAAATGGTCTAAGTCCTGTTCGTTGGAAGAAAAGGAGGCTACAAATATTTTAAACAAACAGAATCTAGAGTCTGGGAAAATAAATTTTTAATTTGTACTCTGTTAGTATTCCGAGGCTGGCCACATGCTGTGCAACAGGTTGTTAGCTTTTGGAATTTTCCAGGCTAAATGTTAATGGGGAGAAGCCCACGAGGATTGGGCCACATAATGCAAGGAGAAAGTGCTTCATTTCCCCCAACGCCATTTCCCCCACCTGAAATGGCTGTAGGCAGGGCTATTTTTGGGCAGGAACGCACAGGAACAGAGTTCCGGCTGGCTCCCAAGTTGCCCACGCCCAGCAGGAACTCATTAGCATAATAGGCCACACCCAATAGCAGAAACTCATTAGGATTGGCTACATTGGGGTGTGTGGCCTAACATGCAAAGGAGTTCCTGCTACAAAAAAA